GAATCATGGGGTGTCGCTCATTAAATGATAGGTTAGCGTTTTTAAGCTGCCCACCGACGCGTAATATGCCCTCAGGATCGAGTAGGGGGTGCAGGTTGGCCAGCTTGCTCTTCGTGTCGATGCTCTTGCCCGCGCGTAACTGTTTCAGTTCCAGAGCAAACTCTTTTTGCTGTACTCGCTTCGTCCAAGATTTTAGCGCGGCAGAGCGTTCACTCCAAAGACAATGCGACGTTGTAGCATGGGCTTTTCCAAGTTTTGCGGAAATGAAGCGCCTGCTCCAGGCGGTGACAGCGAGTAACTTACCAAGATCAGAATACTTTTCGAGGATTGATGACTCAGCCACTGCGGTCTGCGTGTTTAGCAACTTAATGGTTTTCATTTCAGGAAGCGGATGAGGAACCGGTGTGCGTAGTTGCGGCCAACTGTCGGCAGATGATTGTAGCCACGGTGGCCCCGTCCACCAAAGCGCATGGTTGAGTAGTTGACCTGGCGATATTCCCCTCGATGCACAGTCCGCTGGGTTGTCGAATGTGCGCACATACCTCCATGTGTCGCTGGATGTGATTTCGTGTATCTGAGTGATTCGATTAGCAACGAATTCTTTAAGCTTGCCGGGGTTTGACCGAATCCATCCAAGCGCAGTGGTTGAATCCGACCAAAAAAACGTGTCGACTGTTTGCAGCTTAAGAACTCCTTGAACCTTTTTGATGAGTTGGGCAGCCAGCAGTGCTGCACAAAGCTCGAGTCGTGGTATAGTAACCCTTTTGAGTGGCGCCACCTTAGTTTTGGCTATAAGTAAGGTGACATGTGCGCCGCGCTCCGAAATCACCTTTAGGTACACCACCGCGGCATATGCTTGTGCAGATGCATCTGCGAATGCGTGATATTCAAACGAGGTGGCATTGTGAGACGTTTGTATCCAGCGTGGAACTCTGAGTTTGCTTAAGCTCTCTAATTCGGCACGAAGCATTCCCCACTCGTTTTGGATTGATTCAGGAAGCTCCTCATCCCAGCCGATTCCAAGCGTCCATAATTGCTGGAATAAAATCTTTCCTCGTATTAGTACTGGAGCCAAGAAGCCCAGCGGGTCGAATAACTTCGCGACGTCTGAAAGCAGTTGGCGCTTAGTGAATCGTCGATCAGCAGGGTTAAGCGTTATTTTGTAGCTGAAGCAGTCGGAGTGTGTCATCCAAACGATGCCTAAGGCCTTCGACTCGGTTTCAGTGTTAAGCTCATACGGGTCCTTATCCCCACGATCTTCAGGATCTATTTCTCGCAGCATATCAGTAGAATTAGAGTTCCATTTTCGGAGTTTGAAACCTCCAGCTAGCAAAAGTTGTTGTAGTTCACCTCTGAGTTGATTGGCCTCAAAAATGGTTCCAGCACCAGATAGAACGTCATCTACATAGAATTCGTTCAATAGTGTGGAACAGGCGTGCGGAAACTGTTGTTGTTCATCTCTAGCAAGCGCTTGTAAAACCTTCATAGCAAGGAACGGCGCACAATTGGTTCCATAAGTAACCGTTAATAACCGAAAGGTTGAGGTTGACTCTCCATCGCCGAATCGCCAGACTATTCGTTGCAAGTCGACGTCTTCCCGATGGACCAAAATTTGCCTGTACATCTTTTCGATGTCGGCTGTGAAGGCAATTCGGTATTTGCGCCAGTTCAAGACGACGGAAGCAAGATCCTTCTGTAACTTTGGACCTGTGTGTAGGCAGTCGTTCAACGACAACCCAGACCCACTTCGCTTTGATGCGTTGAATACGACACGCAACTTGGTCGTAGTGCTTGAGTCCTTTAGCACGCTGTGATGGGGAAGATAGCTGACGCGGCCGTTGAGCCTATCGTTTCCAACCAGCTCCATATGACCAAGTTTGTAGTATTCGGACATGAAGTCGTGGTATAGTTTGCGTACTGAGGCATCTCGATTTAAACGGCGTTCCATGGTACTTAATAACGATAGTGCAGCCTCTCGTGTTGATGAAAGTTGAGAAAGGCCCGATTCATTTTTGACCGGGAGTCGTACCACATACCGACCTGTCTCAGTGCGTTGCGTAGTAGATTCAAAGAACTCGTTGCAGAATATCTCATCTTTAGTTAAGGTTTGTTGCACGGCTACCTCTTCCTGCTCCCAGAATCGACGAAGAAGTACATCTAGCTCCAGTCTAGTGCAATAGCAGTCATAAGCGGCCTTCATTGATGAGTTACCTCGTTCTGGTAGGCTGCCGAAAATAACCCATCCTAATTGCGTATTTTGTGCGATGACATTAGTGTTGGGGCTACGCTTGATATCGTTGAGCATGATTGTGGCGTAGTCACCAGCACTCAAAATGACGTCGATAGCTCCTGATATGTTGAATTTAGGATCGGCAAGTTTAAGGTCCCAAAACGGCTTAAAGTGTTCAGGATGATAGTTCACAGATGGACTCAGGTTTCCTACGCGTGGCAATACTAGAGCAGTGCAGCGCATTTCGAAAGTTGAAATAGTTGAACGTAGCGAAAACTCCACCGAGCCAGTGGTTGTAGCCAACCTTTGACCGTTAGCTCCATTTAATGGAATACGCAGCGGCGACTTCGATAGTTTAAGCTGGGATACTACGTATTCACTGATAAAGGTGGCTTCAGCTCCGCTATCTAACAAAGCGCGTAGTACCATGGTGTGACCGGTGTTAGAATGCAGCTCGACTAACGCTGTTCCGAGTAGCACTGTAGGAACAACCGAAAAGGTCTGCTGAGTGATGGATGCGTTGTATGTGGATATAGGACTTTGGTTGCTTGCTGACGAAGATTTCATGGTCGCAGGTGGAGTCGGTTGGTTGTTTGCGCAGTACTCATGAATCATAGTGTGGTGAGCCGAATTGCATTTTTGACAACGGCGTTTTGACGAGCACTGATGAGCTTTGTGACCAGAGCGCAAACAGTTCATGCACAGGCTTGCTTGCTGTACTGTCTTGTATCGCTGCTGGGGCATTTGGTTACGAAAGTCCGTACAAAATAAGATGTAGTGCTTGCTAGAACAGCAAGGGCAACTCGCTTCAGTAGTGTGGTACCCTTTCAAATCGTGTTGTTTGGATTTGGTAGTTGTAGTGTCCTTCGACTGTAAATTACTTGGTTTAGAATCTGCGAAGCTTTGCACGACTTCCAATGATTTGGTTTGATTTTCGATGAAAATACGTAAATCATCGAAAGTTGGAAGTGTGTTGTTGGAGGAGATAGACAGCTCCCACGCACGTACAGAGGCACTGTCAAGCTTGTGCACAACAGTGTAGATGAGCCAGTCGTCCCAGTGAGCTACCGGACGACCAAGTTGTTCTAATGCACGTAACGATGCGGTGACACTGTCAATCAATGATCGCAAATTGGCGGCGGATTCTCTTCGTATCGGTTGCAAATTTGTAATTTCGGTTAGATGTGCATTGATAATGATGCGTTTGTTGTCGAATTTGCGCTCCAGCAAGCACCAGGCGACAGTGAAGTTACCGTCTGTTGTAGCAATGTTATCCAGTGAGTTTTTCGCTTCGCCAATGAGACTGTCCTTTAAATACTGCAAGCGCTGCGTGTCTGACAAGTTTCGATTTTTGATGACGATCGACGTGAATAAATCCTTGAAGGGGTACCAGCGCAAAAATGACCCATCGAAAGGTGGTAGTTTAATTGGTGGAAGGCTATGAACCGGATACGCAGCAGTTGCAGGAATTGTTGGTGACTCCGTAATGATAGGGGAGCTCGTTGCCTCAATCATATCGTTCAGCTCCCCCAAAGTTTCGGTGTAGATGCGCTCGATTTCGTTGTACGCGTCCAAAGCCGGCTGTGCCAGCTCAGTAGTGCTGGCATCGTCAGCAGCGTTTGAGACTTCGTCATAGATTTTGACGTATTTTTCCCAATACTGGCAAAGCAGTGATCGGCGGCCGATTAGAAACCCTTTGGTTTGTTTATTTTTAGCAGTTTTGCGTAAATTTGACATAAAATTTACAAGTAAATTTGCTGCGCCAGTTTGTTGTTTGATGAGAGTCTTCATCTTTGCAGAGAACGGTGTGGTTAGCTAACCTTAAAAAAAACTTCTTAGTAGCTGATTTGACTGCTGATATATATACGTGGACGGCGAAGAAGTCCAGTTAGCGTTCCCGAATATTCTTATGTGTATAGCAGGTATACATATAAGCCGCTTTATATATATATATGTATATAGGTAGCTTTCATGCGAACAGTAAAGAGTGCCGTTTGCAGTTTACATATGTAAATAGCTTCAAAGTTAACAAATTTGAAGCAGCGTAGTTATAACATTTACTTTTGCAATTAATTTGCACGCAAAAGAGTCGGCGTTGGCTAATGATGTCTTTTGTATGCAAATCAACCAAAAGCGGAGCGCACACAAGAAACTCCCCGCAAGGGATGCCAATGTTAAAAGCTGGAATAAGCCAGTGTAGGTTTCAGTTCACTTTATTGGTAATCGTACTAAGCAGTTTATTGTACACTATATTTGAAGAATACTTCGATACTTGTTGCAAATTATATCTTTATTGTAGGGCCGAGCCCCTGTGCGCGCTGGTTGTAAAACTTAGAGTTGAATAATAACACAAAACAAAGCACGAAAATTGCACAAAGAAAACGTCAAACTGGTCAGCTGCCAACAGGCTTGCCAAATGCCATGATTTCTTGAACAACTCCTCTTCCGAAGCACCTTTCCAACAAAGCAACAATCGTTCGAGTCGGTTAAGAAACATAGGAGAAAATTGTTCCCAATTAATTAATGCTTGCCTATTTATATATAGACTAGCAAATGCCCGCTTGCTTCGCGGCGCCTAATAAGATATTTTGCGTTGGCCAATTCAAAAATAGCGTTTAAAAGCAAAAACAGTCTGTAAA